AAAATCGGCAGCCATGTTCAAGGATACTTCGTTCGAAAAAGTGTGTCGGGCTTTGTTTAATTTCGCTTCCGTTTCAAAGTTATGGCCTCTTTTGTAGAAAGGAATGTTCGCATTGACAATATCAAACTTAAGGAGGTTGTAAAAAAAACCAAAGCAGATCTGGAAAATTGCAGACATGGTTTTTGAGGGTGATGTGTGAGGAAACATTTCCGATGTTAATCGCGCCGCTCCGATAATTCACATGTGGGAGCAAACCGATTTAGGCGAAGCAGTGTTTCTGGGTATTTCTTTTAATATCGCTGCTACATTGACTTTTTAGAAAATTTCAAAGATATGATTGTATTCTATAACTATTAAGCTTTCAGAAAATGTATAGGTTGATGGGGTTTTCTTTCAAAGAGTCAGCGTAAGAGCGCGATTTCCAAACACTCAATCCACCTATCATGATACCTTAAACAAGAACGATAACCCTTGCTTTTTAATTAGAAAAGCTAAAGATAATATGCTTTGAGATTGAATGCTGCAAAGAACATGTCTTTTCATTTGCCCAATATTCTTCATTCTTTTTCTATTAAAATACTTAATAATGTAAATTTAAAAACTGTTTTGTTAAACAGTTTTAATATTTTAAAGAAAATTGTAATCCTCTTTTCCGATTACTTGCTAACGAAAACCTGGTGGGTTGAATAGTAACCAAAATGGCCATCCTTTGTGAAAAAAGAGTGTGGGGACCCTATCTTTTATTACACCAACGTGAGGGAATTAAAATAATCTGAAGTGGCAAGGACCAGATGTCAATATTTGGAGTCATAATTTAAGTGTGGAAATATTTGTTGATACTCTTTGAAGCAATTCCATGTCTGGCTATATTTCTCATTTTCCCTTAATTCATTGTTACTGATGTGTGGTCATCTGATATATGTTTTGTTTTCTAGAGTCAATATGATAATCAGGCTTTCTTTAATGACAGGTCTGTACTGCAATTTACAAGTTATTAACAAGCGGTTTTACTTTTAAGTATCAAAAGCGGCATGGAACAGACAAAAGTGTAAATTTATTATAGCATTCCAGTTTCTTGAACATCCAAAGAAAACAAAACGTCACTCAAGAATTTGTGAGTTTGAATATTGAAGGTGGCATCTTAAGTCACACTGAACTGTAGGGTCTGCTTGACTTTCCCTTTACCCTAGGGAGACTTTTGATTACCTGTGAAGTACCTATACTATAACCCTTCAGGCCTTTGTGTTTATAATTTACAAGTTAATTTAGTGAGCTCACCTTATCCAAATATTTGTTTTATTTGTTGTTTGTTTACTAATTAGTTAGTTTTGTTTTAATGAGAATTGTCCAAGCAGTTGTTTGCCATTTGTTTTACCTGATGAAAGGACAATTTTGACACCTATCAGACATATTATGGTTAAATGCTTACATGGGTCTTAAACCGCTCAACTTTGAAATAACATTTGCATGGTCATGTTTATTGTGTCAATTATCTTTACCCTGCTTATTGTTTTACAGTGGTTTCTCAGAGAGGGACTCTCAAGAAAATGACCATCAACCTATGGAACTTGGAAGAAGTAACAATAATGTGTCTCCACTGACAGATTGTGATGAAACCTTCAGGTAAATAATATTGTATTTATTTACTTCTAATACTTTTTCTTAAGGTTATATGTTTTTGGTATTGGAGTTTTGTAGCAGTCATTGGTGTGTTTGTTTAACAGGCCTTTTCATGGTTAGCTTTTATTACTTATTTGCTTTACTGACAATATAATTCAACATGTGTGTGGGTGAATTTTGGGTAGTTTTATAGCTTCTGGCTGAAATTGCCTTGCATCCATGTTAGATTACATTATGCAAATGAGAAAAGTTTCCCTTCAAAGCGCTATTAAATAATTTATGTCAGGCAATCAATTAGTCTTGCAGTGTGTGTGCATGTACACTACATAAATCATGTACCTACTTTACTTTGTTGATGTCTCAAAGGTATATATTTGTTTCATAAGACCCCTTGCTTTCCTTGTGATATTATTCTGTTTAGAACAATTATTAGCAATTTACTTTTAACACACATGGAGAAGATTACTCTGACTGCATCACTGTTGACTACAAAGTAGAAGCAGTTAATCCAGCATCCATGGAGCTTTGCCAACTGCTGGCTTTGCCACGCCAGACCTTGGTGTTGTTAGCCTCTGCACGACATCTTGTGACAACCGGTTCAAAGGCGCGCCTCGCCGAGCGCATTCACGCTTTTGAGCACACCATTCCACCACCTCCTGGCCCCATCGTAGATGCTGGAGCTAATAGTGCCACTCCAACGCTCTTGTCAGTTAACGTGGACGAACAACCTACACCACTGACTGCCTTTTCTGAAGTACAGATCACCCAGCTATGATTGCTCATTTCCGCGGCCATTCATGGCGAGCGGGTTGGCACCCAAGAACTCCCCATTCTGGTCAAAAGATCAGCGCTTTCTCCTGCGACTCCGCAGCCACAACGTCCTTTGACGGCTATCCAAACTGGCACGATCAATTCCTCAAGCGACGCCTCAGCTGCCCAAGATGGCATTGTCTTAACTCCAACACCCAGTCCCAGTCTCCCGTCAACCAACGTGGTGGGAACGCCTGGTACTTCTCTGCCTGCCCATAATATACCACCTATCCCACAAAAAATACTACAACGCATCGCGAAACATGAGTACATTGACTTTCTGTCTGACAATTTATACCCTCACCCATCTCTGGCCGCACAGAATCAATACAAATTAGAGGTCAACCCTCAAGATCCCTCAGCCTTGGCCATAGTCCCCTCACATCACCGCAAATGGCAGGTGGACGGACTTCATTCCTGGTTGGAGGCCTGGAATATCTACCTTCAAACAGTCCTTCACCACTTCCCTCTCTTCACCCCTGACCTCCTTACATACCAGGACCAGATATGTAAGTTCAGCAGGAAATTTAGAGCATCCGCATGGATTATGTATGACACTGCCTTCCGCTACCTTGGCTGCTTCCAACCCATCGTTGTCTTGGGGAAAAATAAATGATCAACTCTACAATAACATCTTAAAAGAGGAAACACTCCCTTTCTGCATCTCCTGTCACTTCTACGGCCACCGCACCATCAATTGCCCCACTCATTTCCAGGCCAACCAGTCCTTTTGTCGCTCCCCAGCCAATGCTCCACCATTTACCACTAGTTGAACCTCCTCCCAACCCAGCATCCCATCACCATCCCGCCGGCCAATCTCTCAGCCCCTTCACCAAACCTCACCTGCTGTGATTTCAACCGTTGTTTCTGCCACCGCATCAACTGCCAATTTCTGCACGTCTGCAGCAACCAAGGTGGCAGTGGAACCCATCCAAGTACCCAGTGCCCGAAAGGAGTCTAACAACGTGCCATCCAGTCTTCCCCACCTTTCTCCATCAACCCCTGTTTGCATCCCCAACCTGGCTCAAGAGTTTATGAATCACCCTGACCGTCAATTTGCTTCAGATCTGGTCCATGATCTCCAGTTTGGCTGTCGCCTTGGCTATCAGGGTCCATGCTACCACAGAATCACCCCGAATTTAAAATCTACTCCCCTTCACCCCAATGCAGTCACTGAGGTGCTCATGAAAGAGGTTAGTAGAGGCTACACAGCAGGCCCCTTCTCATCTTCTCCCCTTCCTGCCCTTCAGTGCTCACCTTTAGGCCTTGTTCCCAAAAAGGATGGCTCCTGGCATATTATCATGGATCTCTCTTCGCCTCGAGGTTCATCCATCA